TCTCAATGGAGAGACAAAATGCAAATACCCTCAGAACAAAGTAGAGAAAATGAGAAGTGTCCTGGAAAATGCAGGGGAGCCAGATGAGTAGGTACTGGATCATATAGGGCCACAAGAAAAAGTGTGAATGTAATATTAAATATAATAAGAGGTCATTGGAAGGGGTTTGGGAAGGGTGGTGATATGTGAAAAACAGATTAAAAAAATCTTAGATAAAACTGGTATACCACACAGATGTTTTTAGAGATGCTGGGAAAAAAAAATGATAACAGGGTTCCTGCTTAACTGTTGAAGAAGAAACATCAGAAAGAGATGTATGCAGAGATGCAGGAAATATTGTGGTAGAGTGGATGACAGTATAATGTTGAAGGGTAGAATGTGGGTGGATGAAAAGGAGGATAAGAATCAAGGACAACATTTAGAATGAATAAAAGAGAATTGTCTTCTGAACATGTAAATTGGAGCTTTGTAACAGATAATGCAAATGGAAACGCTGAGTAGATTTGAGTTCAATGAAAAGATCAAAGCTGAAGAAATGAATGAGGGGATCAAATGCATATGAACTTGATTTGGAACCATTAGCTGGATGAGATCAATGCAGGTCAGAGGTTCTCAACCCGATTAGAAAGCTCCTGAAAGGTGAGAAACAGGCCAGCGAAGCTTCATCTATATTCACAGTCATGCTCTATCATTCTCATCACTGCCTAAACCCCTCCTCCCGTCAGGTCAGCTCTGGGATTTAGATTCTCATAGGAATCCCTAGATGGGACTACCAAGTTGCAAGACAACGAGCTCAGGGCTCCCACTGATTAAGCATTATGGTTAGTTGTATAATTATTTCATTATATATAACAACGTAATAATAGTAGAAATAAGGTGCATAATAAATGTAATGCCCTTGGATCATCCCAAAGCCATCTCGCCCTCCTGCCATCTGTGGAAAAATTATCTTCCATCAAACTGATCCCTGGTGCCAAAAAGTTTGGAGAATATATAGAAAACAGTGAAGAGAGAGAGAGTGAGAAGACGACCTAGGATATCACAATGATGTAAGGATAAAGAGATTTGACTAAATATGAGAAACCATGCCTGCAATGGATATACCAAGAAGGAAATCAATGCGGTCGTGGGAAGAAAGTCAATAATATACACAAGATAAAGCTCACATTTAATGGCACACACTGTCCACAAGACATTTAGAAAAATGATGATTTTGTATAAAAACATCTCCAGAGAACTAACCATATGTGCCATTATTTGACTATACTTATTAGTTACTGAAATGTATCAATTAAAAAGTCGCTTGAATATATATAGTATCCCAAAGAAACTCTATTGGATGACTAACATTATTGAGTTTTAGCAAATAAAAAATGCAAGAATATGACCTATCAAAATTCAAGGATTGGAACAAAAGGCATACTCAAAAGGTATTCATATTTTTAAAATGAAAATAAAAGTATAGTCCATGCTTTTGATTAAATAATGAAGTAATAAGACAAATTCAAAGTAAAATAAAAAACATACATATACTGATTGGTGCTGATGCTACTAGTGAAATACCAAAAAAGCAGTATCATTGGTTTATCTTTGTTAATATTGGTGACAAAATTCATTTGATAAAATTATGTAAAAATCTATTCTCAGAAAATGGAAAACATAATAAGTAATATAAATGTGGAAAATTATGAGCAGGTTTTTCAAAATGTAAAAAAAAAATCTTTCTTAAAATAACTAAAGCAATTAGACCCTAAAATGAACAAATCTCACATTTATCAAATATGCAAATATATCTTTGTTAATATTGGTGACAAAATTCATTTGATAAAATTATGTAAAAATCTATTCTCAGAAAATGGAAAACATAATAAGTAATATAAATGTGGAAAATTATGAGCAGGTTTTTCAAAATGTAAAAAAAAATCTTTCTTAAAATAACTAAAGCAATTAGACCCTAAAATGAACAAATCTCACATTTATCAAATATGCAAATACTACTAAAGTTAATAGTCCTCATAAGGCAGTTACTTGCAAACAGTGGCAGCCATGTAAATAGATAAACAGTTTCTAAACTGTAATTTTATAGTACATACAAAGCTGTGAAAATCACGTGAAAGGTTTGAATCGGAATCATATTTATCTAGGCAGAGGAAGTAGTTAACAAGTCTACCATTATTACTATGTCATACCTGTATTCAGGACATTGACAAGTTATAACTATCACTTAAAGACACCACAGTAAAATGGTTAACTTCACTACACTATATCTGAGCTATTTAGAAAGGGGGATTTTTTTGTTTTTGGTCTAGCCATAGTTGTAGAGGTATAAGGTCACTGCTGCTCAATGCCAGAAGCCACATGGAAAAGCTCTGAAAAGGTGTAGCTGTGGATACACCCATGATCCTCCCTGGTGGGAGAGCTGGAAGGAGGATCGTGTCATGTGACCCTGTTGAGTTGCTTGGGTCTGTCTCTCTATTTATCCCATTCTCTCTCTCAAGAAGAAAATAAATACCCCTTTTATAAAAGCTATGAAAAAGTTTTTAAAACTATTAAAATAAATAAATGTCTTTATTATTATGTCAAATGAAAATAACTCATCGGATATTGAGTTAAAATATTAATTCTGTAAAGCACATGTACCATACATATACCACACCAGCGTGCAAATCATCCAACATCCTAATTAAAGAAAATATGTTGAGAAGAAAAGAATTGCTATCTCTGCATGATACGTTGATGAATAATGTTTATGTAGTTCTTTATATCACTCTGTATTTTGTAAATATTTCACAAGAAACATATATTTAAATTCGGGAATGAATAACAGAAACAATGCTTAAATATTTTAGGCAGAAGAAATGGAAGTAGGATTTTGGACGAGAGTCAGTATGTGAAGTTCAATAACTTCATGAGGAAGAACATAAATTTAATATGATCAATGTAAGATTTTAAATGGGCTGAAGCTCATTTCAATGAATCTTTGAAGGTGAAACATTGAAAGAGT